GTACCGGCCAAGCCAGCATCTTTTGAGGCAGCAAACTGCAAGCAGCTTTGGTGGCAGCGGCCGCCACGCGCTGATTGAATCGGTCCTTGTTCTGGGATCCGAATACGCGGTTGCACTGAATTGGCAGTGGTGGCTTTTTACGCCGCGTTCTGCGGACGTGGACGGATCAGCTGCTTTGGCGCCCGGCTCTGCCATGGCGGTGTTCCCATGTGTGGCTGCGACACGACAACACTAGGGTCCGAACCCCCCACATCGTGCATCGTCACGCCTCATGCGCACTGTCCAAATCACCACTTCCACACCCCCAGCTCGCAGTGTCTCACACCCATGTGTTTTCCGCTCCACTCCTTGTTGATACCACCGCAGGAACGAGATCGCATCCCTCTTACACATCAAGATCCGCCGCAAGGCGCCCTCGCATCCCAGCCCCACCGTGGACCCACAGCCGAACAGCAGCGGCGGCAGCAGCAGCAGCCCGGCGGCCACCTAGCCTGCTGCAGCGGTCTGTCCTCGGCGGTCCAGCGGTCTCTGGGTTGGAAGCGCCAGCGGCGGCAGCAGGGCTGCTTTGCGCATCTCCCTCGAGCATGCAACAAACATTCTCAGTGGGGAGCGGTCGCAGGCTTGCGGCGGCGTTGGCGTCCCCGCAGCCGTGGCTGCCTACGAGCCCAGCTGCCGCGACAATTCAAAAGCCGCGTCCAGGGGTGGGTGTGGGGACATGGCACCACGCCCATGCTGCCATTGCAGCACCTATGCCGATCCCTACGTCCTCGCCCACGCACGTGAGCGTGCGCGTCTGCCGGCGAGCTTTGCCGATGCAGCTGCGTCAGGGGCGCGCGTGCCCCCGCCTTGCGGGCATGCGCGTGCGCCTCCAGTGCCTTGAGGCTCAGGGGGCTCCTCCTGCTGTGACCGCACCGCCTGGACGCGCCAGGTGCTGCAGACGCCCCTCCTGATTCTGGGTCTCACTCATGCCTTGTCCTGTACCGTAATTATCTGTTTCCATTCCTCAATTTGCCCGTGTGGTGTGACATTTGTGACGGATTTTCTCCTGGTTGTACTGTTTGTGGCAGGTTTTTTTTGTGCTCCTCCCAGTTTCTGCGCCAAAGAACTCTTTGATGAACTCTGCCTCGCAACTTTTCCACCCCTGTTGCCTAATATTATGCGACACAACCTCGCGAGTAAGCACATCATTTGCAGTTTATTTGACCAGTGGGTAGCCTCATCCTCCCAGGCATCGCTGACGCCCAATGGGCGTTTTCAAAGCGATGTGGCTGCTGTAAGGGTGACGTGTGGCCGTGTTGTGGTGGTGTTGAAGCAGCACAGCAGCGTGCCATGGTCATGAAGCGCGCCAGAAGGTGCCGGGGGCGCCCACCAAGATAGGATGATGGGGCTAGGAACAGCCATCATGGTACTGTGTGGGACCGCAAATGGTGGTGTGAATCACCGAACATGGTGATTGTTTACTCCTTGGGGGTTTGTGGAGGGCGGCATGCGGCTGGGTACGCGTCGATGCGGGGGAGGTCCAGGGAGTCGGGGAGAGGTCAAGGGGCGGACGCCATCGCGCTGGCGGGGGAGGGGCAGGTTAGGGCCCGCCGCAGTCCTCGTCTCTGCAGGAGTGCGTCGTATGGGTTGGTAAAAAGATCAGTTACAATGTGGCGCCCCAACTGTCCCTGGCTGCGTCGTACTGTATGATCAAAAGTGCGGAAGCAGCGCACCCACCACCTGCCCAGGGCTTTGCCGTGTGCGAGGTTTCCGCGTTACCTGATCGCTTTCTATAGCGTTGATTTTATCATTGTGCTATCAGCAACTACGCCCAGCAGCTATACACCGCCCTTCCACAGCTTCGTGCAAGTCGCAACAGCGTGCGGCCGCTCTAGCGCGTGTTCACGACTATTGATTAGAACATCAAAGTCCCGGCAAACAGCTCTGCATCTCGCCCGGCGCGTCAGACCTCCTTGCAGTGCCACGCCAGCGCAGCAAGCGCAGGACGCCAGCGCGGCACCTGTACACCTGCACGCACAGCAGCGACAGCGGGCCCACGGCCTCTGCGCAAGATGGGGGACAAGCTCATGGAGCAGATCTTCAACCTCAAGGTGATCCACGGGCTTTCTGCAGCGGCATGCACACCGCGGTCGGTCGCATGGGGTGCCGCGCCTGCGACACAACGCCACACCCCCCTGCTGCTGCGGGCCGAAGCCACGCGACACCCCAGCATGCAGCCCAGCTTGAACCCTCACCAGCGAACAGCATCAACATCAGCAGCAGCAGTAGGCGCAGCAGCGGATTCCGTGCACGACACGCAGCGGACGCCTGGGATTGCACCCCATCCAACTGCCGCGCATGCGCCCGCCCCGGCCCCCCCTTGCGCACCTCAGTTCACGGCCAAGCAGCTCAACAGGTCGGCCATAAAGTGCGAGAAAGACGAGAAGGGGGAGCGCTTGAAGGTCAAAAAGGCGATCGAGAAGGGCAACCTGGACGGAGCCAAGATCTACGCGCAGGTCGGCCCCGCGGCCTGCGGCCATGCACTCGGCGCTCGCGCGCGGGCGGCCGCATGCGACGCTGCACTGTCCAGCATCGTTTCCGCGCGCCACGCACGGACGGCACGTCGCGGCCGTTCGAACGCCTGCCTGTACCGCGCGGCTGCGTGCGCTCAGTCAAAGGTGAACTCATGGGATCCGCGGCGGAGCGCCCCGGCCCCACTGCCGCGTGCGATTGCCCATCGAAGAACCGCCTTGGCGCCGCGCTCCCCCCCCCAAAAGAATGCGATTAGGAAGAAGCATGAGCAGCTGAACTACCTGAAGTTGGCCTCCAGGCTGGACGCCGTGGTCAGCAGGCTCGACACGCAGGTGCGGCCGCGGGCACGCAGTGCACAGGGGCAGTGGCAGGGTCCCTTGCTGGGTGCGGATGGCAGCCTGGCGCACTTGAGGTTTCTGGCTTCGGCAGCCCCGAGGCTGCGAGAGCCTGGAGGACGATGCGGTTGCCGTATGTGATGACCGCAAGGACGTCTGCCGGCCGCCGAGGCCTCTCCTATAGGGGAGGTCTTTGGCCGACGAGGGGCGGAGCAGCAGTGGGGAGTTTTGTATGCCGCCTCGTCAGCCTCCACGCCCTGTCTATCCAGAGCTTGCGTGACCCTCACGCACCCTTGCTATCATCAAGGCCGCCTAATCCGCACCTCAACCTCAGCACGCCCTCCCCCTGTGCCGCCACCCCTGTCCCACACACATGCACACACACAAACACACAACTACAGGCGAGTGCAACCCC